CAAACTCCTTTCCCTTCCCCTCCCCACAACAGACACCCTGTGAGGGAGGCAGGGCTGAGAGAGCTCTGAAAGATCTGTTCTTTCAAGGACAGCTCTGACAGAACTACGGCTTGCCCAAGGTCACCCAGCAGCTGCAAGTGGAGGAGTGGGGAATCAAACCCGGTTCTCCCAGATTAGAGCCCACACACTTAACCACTACACCAAACTGCCATTATGCAGATGGCTATCATAAAATCTGAAGTTATACATGACTTCCTCCCACCCAGCTTTGCGGGAAACTTCCCCCATCTTTTGTCTACCTGAAATCGTCTTGCCCTTTGTCATCTGAAATATGCACAGTGTTTTTCCGAACACTTTCCTCTCCCTTTGTTGAGCAGTAGGTGGTTCCAAGGCTGCTTATGTGACTTACGTTACTCACTGGCAGTCCTCTCTCCCTCTCTCTCTCCCTCTCTCTCCCCCTCCCCCGCCCTCCCTCCCTCTCTCTCTCTCTCTCTCTCTCAATACACGTGGCACATCATGAGCCACAAAAACACATGGACAAGCAGAGCTATGCCAAGGCAGCAGCATTCTGGAAACCCACAGGTGGCTTCTGCCAGCCACTTTTTGTGCATCAAGGGCCAAGCTACACAAAAAGCTAGAGATGAGGAGCGGTTTTGCACACTCGGTTCACATTCAGTCCCTGTTCTTCTTCCTCCGAGAACCCTCTGCGTGTCTCTGCTGTAGCGCAAGGAAGAAACTATCTGGGAACTCAGCGTCATCTTTTTCTAGGGACTGGGGAGAAGTTACTAATTTGTGTCTCTGCGTGCCAATTACAAATCTTATTGTTTCCTTCTTTTACAGATCTTATTGTTTCCTTACAGATCTTCTTGTTTCCTTCTAGATTGGCTTTTGCCTGTGGCCCTTGCTCAAGACGACCCTCCAGACCCAACAGGTACAGTTTCCCACTAGCAGTGCAATCCTAATTAAGGACTAAGTGGCAGTGGACCTAAGTAAAGACATCACGGCCTGGGTGACCCAGGCGGGCTCGATCTCGTCAGAGCTCAGAGGCTGAGCAGGGTTGGCTCTGGTTAGTGCTTGAATGGGAGACCACCCAGGAAGCCCGGGGTTGCCACGCGGAGGCAGGCGATGGCCAGCCACCTCTGGACGTCATTTGCCTTCATTTCATTTCATTTCATTTATTTGACTTCTAGCCCTCCCTCCCTCCCCTGCAAGCAGGCTCACAGTGGGTTACAACAAGATGATAAATGCATAATCCAATAGCTACTATTCCAATTAGTCATTAAGACATAAGAAATAACATCAATAATAGCAACAGATAACAATTGATGGCACCATTTAACCAAAGTTATAGTATTTTGTCTCCACCTGCTCCTGTGGAGGAGGAGGAGGAGGAGGAGGAGGAGGAGGAGGTTTTTAAGGAGGAGGAGGAGGAGGAGGAGGAGGAGGAGGAGGAGGAGGAGAGATAGGATTTATACCCCGCCCTTCACTTGGAGTCTCAGAGCGGCTGACAAACTCCTTTCCCTTCCCCTCCCCACAGCAGACACCCTGTGAGGTGGGTGGGGCTGAGAGAGCTCCGACACAAACTGCTCTTTTTCAAGGACAGCTGTGCCAGAACCACGGCTTGCCAAAGGCCATCCAGCCAGGTGCAAGTGGAGGAGTGGGGAATCAAACCCGGTTTTTCCAGATTAGAGTCCGCGCACTTAACCACGACACCAAGCTGGCTCTCATGTGCGCATTTGGATGGAAAGGGATGCTGTGGGGGTGGGCAGACAAAAGACAATATGATGGATCAAGTAATGCAGGAGAGGCCACTATGGAAAACCCTAGGGAGTTGCCATAAGTCGTCTGAGACTTGATAGTACTTTCCACCACCAAACAAGTAAACAAGCTTAAAATCTTGCACTAAATCGTTCCAGCTATCGAGTAAATTGCACTGGGTTACAGTGGTTTACACTGGTATGATGACTTGGTGTTAGAGTTGCCAGGCAACCAGTAGGCAACTGGGGTCAGGGACATCGGGGTGGGATGGGGGGCAATGCCATGGGTAGCGGCCCGGCTCTCAAAAATGCAGAGGCAAATATTAGTAAGTATTTTGCTGGATGTGTGTGCGTGTGTGTATGTCCGAATATAAACAATGCACATTCTTACAGAATGGGATCTTGGCACATTTCAGAAATTAAATATGAAGGGGCCGCATGCGCCTTAGTTTGAAATGTTATTGTGCGCTGTCATGCTGGTAGCCTTCAAAAGAATTAAATGCATCCATCAGGGCACAGGCCAGCAATCACGAGTCATGTTTGCAACACAGCACGAGGAGGAAGGAAGAACCGCATTTTTAAATTAGAATGAAACCAGGAGTTGAGTATTGTGGGACGCTGCCACTCTTACAGGTAAGTTCGAGACTCAGGGAAAACACGGCGCAATGGCACAGCCTCATTAGGGGCATCTTGGAGAAGCCTGTCAGGTATTTCAGGTATTTCGTTTTTAACGTTCAAAGCAAGTGTATTGCATTGTGCCTGGAAACGAACAGGCAGTCAGTGATGATTGGGCAAAAGAAACGTCTGATCTCGGCAGCATGATTTACACATTTGGGGAGATGCTGGCTACCGGAAGGCTGTCATTTTCTCTTTGAAAATGGGGAGATATTTTGTGTCTAAGTCTATGTGGCCCTGCCCTGGACAGTGCAGGATAGTTCAGTTTTGTCATATTTTGGCTGCTAAGCAGGGTCGGCCCTGGTTAGTATTTGGCTGGGGGCCCCGCCAAAGAATACTGGGGCCTCTGCTTGGAGGCAGGCAATGGCAAGCCACCTCTGAATGCCTCTTGACTTGAAAACCTGGCCGCCTTGAGAATGACAGGAGCGCTCTGTCTATGATGGTCAGCTGCTTAATGGGCCTCTTGCAGGACCAGCAACAAACATCAATTTAAACTTCAATGTAACCACAAAAGGAAACTTGCCCCTTTAGAAGACTTTCAAGCAAGGAGGAGCGGGTGTACAATTCTAGAAACTCCCGTTGGGGGTTGATTGTGTAAAAAGGATGTAAATTGACTGGAGGCAGACGATGGCAAGCCACCTCTGAATGCCTCTTGACTTGAAAACCTGGCCGCCTTGAGAAAGACAGGAGGACTCTGTCTATGATTGTCAGCTGCTTAATGGGTCTTTTGTAGGACCAGCAACAAACATCAATTTAAACTTCAATGTAACCACAAAAGGAAACTTGCCCCTTTGGAAGACTTTCAAGCAAGGAGGAACGGGTGTACAATTCTAGAAACTCCCGTTGGGGGTTGATTGTGTAAAAAGGATGTCAATTGACTGGAGGCAGGCAGTGGCAAGCCACCTCTGAATGCCTCTTGACTTGAAAACCTGAGAGGGGTCATGAAAAGTTGGCTGTGACTCAATGACACTCTGGTGGTGGACCGTGCCGTCAAGTCACAGCTGACTCCTGACGACCCTGCAGGGTTTTCAAGGCAAGACATGTTCAGAGAGGAGGTTGGCCATTCCCTGCCTCTGCACAACCACCCAGGACTTCCTTGGGGGGTCTCCCATCCAAGGACTAACCAGGGCTGACCCTGCTTAGCTTCTAAGACTGGGCCAGCCTAGGCCATCCAGGTCAGGGCTGACAGCGCTTCATACGTACACAAATATGTGGGACAAAACAGTGGAGACAACCCCCCCCCCCATATTTTGATAGTTCCAACAGTATAATAAAAATGCAACTGAACATCTTGGGAAGAATCTTGAAACCCCCTGAAACAGCTTCCTCCCTCCTTCTGCAGACTTCCACCCCCATACTGTTCCTAGAACAACATTTTTGGGAGCATTCTGAGTTACAGTGGGGAGTGTGAGAGAGTCCTGTTTCACTAGGGTTGCGATCCCCCCCGATGGGGGCAGGGCTTCCCCCGATTTCGGGTCCCTCAATCTGCCCACTGGCCAGCTGCTGGCAGGGGAGCCCCGCCCCCAAAGAGGTCCATGGTGCTCGACGAGCCCAGTGCAATAATGTCACCCAGAGGTGACATCATCGCACTGGGCACGGCACAGGGGGGACGCTCTAGCGTTCGGTCAAAAACCCTATGGTGGCCATAGAGATTTTGGCCAGACGCTAGAGCATTCCCCCATGACGTGCCCAGTGCGATGACGTCACTTCTGGGTGACATCACCGCAGAGCACGTGCAAAGTACGCACACCAGAAGACCCCGAAGAAGAGTGTGGTGCCCCCTGCCGGGTAAAGGTGGGGACCTGGCAAACCTACGTTCCACTGACAAAAAAATCCCTCATTAGTTAAAATTTATGGTGGGATCCAGCTCACTGTTACAAGAAAGTAAGGAAAGGACCCAAATGGCAAAGCGTAAATGGAGTGATTTTTGTAATAAAGAGTTAATAAAGAAATGTTGCACATTGCTTTCCTCAACGAACTACCAGGCCAGACTAAGATGGCTGGTCACTATACTTGACTTTACACTGTTACGATGACTTAGTGTTAAGGGTTGGCCTGGCAACCAGGAGGCAACGGGGTGGGGGCAAGGACCCGGGGGGATGCCATCAGCAGTGGCATGATGTCACTTCCAGGAAAAACCCAGAAGTGACATCATACCTCTAGGACTTGTGGTCTATGGCAAAACCATAGCAATTCTAGTGATTCCTAGAGCAGATTGATATCGCTTCTGGCTTACCCCTTGAACTGGTTTCTCACGTCTTCACCCAGTGGCGAATTTTTACACTTTGGGAAGACATTAGAGAGATATTGCGTTGATCCATATTATCTATATTATTGTCATTCCTTCAGTAATCCGTCAAGAAATTGGTGACGAACACCAACAGAGAGAGAGAGTTGAAAAAGACATTTGAAACCGCTTTTTAATCCTAGGAAAGCGTGTCCTCGATTTATCTCTTGCATTCCGTGGATCTACGTTTTCAAACGAAGGAATGATAAACGTTGTTTAGGAGCCTGAAAGCTCCGTTAAGACACTTTAAAGAGAAAACATTCTAGGAACATGGTCAAAACAGTGTCAAGAATATTTACATCAAGATTTTGAATTGTACTCATACCGTTAGCTACTGGCTTTGCTTATACATATGAAATGTACTTTACATAAGGATGAATGTTGTCTAGAGCAAGAAGTTTGCATTATAAACATTATAGGAAGTATAACCAAGTGTGTTAAAGTCAGGGGTCATTTCCTGCAGAAGAGAAGAGCAGAGGGGCTGAGAGAGCTCTGACACAAACTGCTCTTTTTCAAGGACAGCTGTGCCAGAGCTTGTGACTAATCCAAGGTCACAGCAGGTGCAAGTGGAGGAGTGGGGAATCAAACCCAGTTCTCCCAGATTAGAGTCTGCACACTTAACCACGACACCAAACCACTACACGCACAGGAGCGGAGCTCCGGCAGTAAAGAGCCCAGGGGGCGGCATCAGGCAACAAGCCCCACCCCCTGCTCCCAGAAGCCCTCAGTCAGAGCAAGAAGCAGCCAGGTAAGCTGCAGAGCCCCCCCCCCGCCCCCCGGTCCAAAGCAGTCCAGTGGTACCTTTAAGACCAAGTTTTATTCAGGTACAAGCTCTCCCTCCTCTGCGAGGACAGATCTGCACGTCCCTCCCCCCCAATAGCTAGCAATCCAAATCAGTCCCGTGGAGCCTGAGCGGTGGGTGTCGCCTTCTGACACACGTCTGGTGATGTCAGGGGGTGTGGCATATGCAAATGAGTTATGCTAATGAGTTATGCTGATGAGCTCCTGCACCTCTTTTTCTACGAAATGACCCCTGTTAAAGTTATAGAATAGCGGTTTTCTTCGGTGAGTTCGTTTTTCCTATTTGGTCTCCTATGCTGTCCCAGCAGAAATGCCAAAAGAATAAGAGTTGCCGTAGAAAACAAAGCTCACGTTGCAGTCATGACGGCCACTCTCAGAGAGTCACTGGCAATAGTGTTGCTGCCCCCTCATCACAAGAGTCCACCTGATAGCCTCCACATTCTCCCAGCAAGCTGCAACCGCTAGAATGCTGTCAGGAAGGATTCCATCCACGCAAGACTCACCTTTGCCCCCTGAGAGGCATCACAGAGCCTTGGCCTCTGTCACCTAAAAACAAAACCCTTCTTGTTCTCTTCTGTTAGGACAAACTGACATAACAACACAGGCTACAAGCGTCCAGAACTCTTCGCCAGTCTGGAGACCTAAAAAAACAGGCAGGGGGGAAAGAGAAACAGATGTGGCCCTGTTTTGAGAGACGTGGTTTAAGGCCTTACTCTCTGGGAGTCATGCCAAAGTTTGCAGTCCCCAAAGGATCATTTTGGGCGTTTGCGCTCTGTACAGTGCACAGAGGCTATGAGGGACTCTCTCTGCTGACTCGGAGGAGGAGAATGGAGAAAGAAGGGGGGAGGGGGTCTCCTCAGAGCCAGCCGGCGCTATAGAAATACAGATGACCCTGGTCAAAGAAGAAGATTGGGCTGCCAGAGGCACACCCAAGCCACAGTTGCGCTGAAGTTAAAGAGTTTGTGGAAGCTAAAAGACAGAGTGGAGCTTTCCTGCAGCCAGGAAGGGAAAGAAGGTCTGTTTGGCGGGGGTGGTGGTGGTGGCAGCGTTAAGGCAGATAGTGAAATCCCCCTCGGCATGTTGAAGAATCTCTCTTGGCCATTTTACACACAGGAGGAGAAGGACTCCTCCTTAACTCCAAGGAGACACACAGGGGACCTGAGGACTTCGTAATGTATAATTAACTCTTCGTCTCCAGTGTTTCTGCTGAGAGCAAGATGCCGGGGTAAGCCCTGATGGCCGGGAACCCCGGGGGTTCAAGACACCCTTGCCAGACGCGGGCCACAAATCTGTGCCGGGAAGGAAAATCATCCCCCTCCGTGGGCCAGGTTGGCTAACTGATGTGCGTTTTGTGAAGTTTGTTCCTCTGAGTCTGTTGTTTCTTTCTGAGGGGTGCTCAATGCAGAACCATCTAACCCAGGGCTATTTTTGGGCAGGAACACACAGGAACGGAGTTCCAGCTGGCTCCCAAGTTGGCCACGCCCAGCAGGAGCTCATAAGCATAAAAAGCCACACCCAACAGCAGAAACTCATTAGGATTGGCTACGTTAGGGGTGTGTGGCCTAACATGCAAAGGAGTTCCTGCTACAAAAAAGGCCCTGGGTTTTGACAACAAACAAGGTAAACAGAATAAGAAGCAAAAGGTGGGTGTGGCTGGATGAGCACACTTTTGGTAACTTGGGGGTGTGGCCTAATATGCTAATGAGCTGTGCTGTCAGGGGTGTGGCCTAATATGCTAATGAGTTTCTGCTGTTGGGTGTGGCCTATTATGCTAATAAGTTCCTGCTGGGCTTTTTCTACAAAAAAAGCCCTGATCTAACCGATCTCACGAGATAACTCAGGTTAATTCGTTCCCGTTTCCACATCATTTGCTGCTGTGTCAGAACTAACTGACAGGTGGGTTTTGTTTTTTTTAGGCGTAACCTAGGATTTCAAATGGTGAAACCTAACGAGGAGGACAGATATAGATTTGTTCACTGTACTTTCGGTGGCGAAGTTCCAGCTCCCCTTCTCACCTTCTTTGTGTTTCCATGTCTACTTTGCATCTGTCAGCCATGTCAGCCTTCTCTCTCTTCTCTCCAGGTGCACCTGATCCAGCGGCAACACCGGCAGGTAAGCTCTCTTGCTCCTCCTTATAGCATACCAGGGGTCATGTCCTGCAGGAGCGCACAGGAGCGGAGCTCCGGCAGTAAAGAGCCCAGGGGGCGGGCACATGCAACAAGCCCCACCCCCTGCTCCCAGCAGCCCTCAGTCAGAGCAAGAAGCAGCCAGGTAAGCTGCAGAGCCCCCC